TCACGCCTTTGAAGCGGTTAACGGTGCGCAAATAATATTTTTGTATATGACATTGACATTCACCATCGGATTAAGCCATTTGGGGTAATCGTAATTTGAATTGACCCTCCAAGGGTGCCATTCATTGAGAGCTAGGATTTTCTATCGGCAGTCTTTTTCGACTATTGGAAACAACCTAGTGGACAATAAGTACCTACTTACTTCGAGTCATAGAAAAAAAGGTTCATTCTCATTGAAATTCCGTTATAGTGAGCTAGCCGACGGCATAATTTTATATGAAATATTAGCGCATTTTTCAACTTGTTGCGCAATGTTAACTTTCTTATTTATAGATATTTTTTTGAAATTTGAATATGGTAATAATAAGATGTGCGCATGCGCAAACTTTCTGATTTATACAAACAAACTGCGCTATTATTACCACTTTATCCGTTAGAGCCTTTAACTACTCCTACAGTTTTTGAGATATTTGGTTCGTTTTTTTTGCATTTGGTAGGTTATGGCTCTGGCACGATCAATGTGCGCATGTGGATTGTACAGGTTACGCAATATAAATGTTATTTTTTAATATATTTTTGTATTTCGCTATCATATTGTTTAAAATTTTTTTCAATCAAATTGGGATTTTCTCAGACATCATCGAATACCTGCAGCTATCCATAGGATCTTCTCAGATAGACACGAACAACTTATACTATGCCATCAAAAAAGAATTCCCGTCGAGTCACCTTTGGAATTTTTGTTTACACGGGAAATCTCTGTTATTTTGAGGACAATTAAAAATAATGATAATGAGTAGAAACATAACAAAACAGAATGTGCCTAATTAAATTAAATGTGATGTTAGTTTTTATTCTCATTTTTATTGAGATAAAGATATAGAAAAATATTACAAGTAGCAAAGCAAATTTTTGAGCCGTTGACAATGTTACTAGGTATACAAAATTGGAAAGCAAATCAACAATGCAAACCCTGGAAGCTACCGAAAGAATAAAAACTCAGAACAAAAATTTTATAATTTCCTGAAATGAACATGCTGTATTTTGTTTCCGATTACTGATACCACAGACAACATAGGTATTCTGTGCTGGCTCAATGTGATAAATAATTCCTTTCCGAGATGTTGTCAAACGAATAGTCGCATAAACACGTATTCCTTAGGAAACCAAAAAATGCAAAGTACTCTTCCGTTTTGTCATTTCTGATAATGAATATCTAGCTACTTCCCTCATGATAAGCGCTAATATATGACTCATGACGAAAAAATTGCCACTTTATTCCACGCATTGGCCTAATACTTTTACGGCAAAACAAATACAATAAAAATAGGGCAAGCTCCAATCTAGACGATTAACGTAAATTAAGAATTATGCCCAGCACTAATTGTAGTTTAATTAAAAAAGAATCGGGTAAGCCGGAGCCATCTCTTTTGTACCAAACGAACTATAAACAAGTATTAAAGAGATCAACACCTGGCATGTCCAATTGTAATAATTAGACATTTAAACAGCAACTTTTTACTTCTTTCACCTGTCTTATAAGTAGTCCTACCTGTATTTCGAGTAGTAATTCCGTTTTTCGTCTCCGAATTTCGATTAAAATCTTCTGCTGCTCAGGTGTCAGTTCTAAAAACAAATGACTGCTTAATTGGGATGACAAGTGCGGACGTTTTAGGCCAACTTGATCAACAGCTGACTGCATTTGAGGAATATGGGGCTTACTTGCCCGAGGTAAATATGACATTTATTTTACCTGGTACTCCGCCGAATCCCTCCAAAGTATGTCCCGTTGAACCCATATTAATTAAATGTTTTTCTTTCAACATAATTTTGGAAAAAATACAAAGAAGGCATTTAAATTAAAAACCACTACATGGTTATTTATGATAATAGAACCGCCATTTTTGTTTATCCGTTACCACTGATTTTCGTCAGGTGGTGCCAATGTCGTCTGAATAAAGTTACTAGTTTCTCCACACCACAGAACAGTGGCGGGTTGTTACATAAATTATGTAAAGTTACGGGACCGGGTCCCGGGAGTCGGGCAGTCGGCTTGGATGAAAAAATCTTAGATCATTGTTAATATGTATGATCTAAGGAAAAAATAACTGGATTGCTTGCCAAATTTCATTTATGATGAAGCCAACATCAACAGCGCCATCACAAGGTGGTGTGCGTTTTGTGAAACGAAGTTTTAATTTTAGTAAATTTTACAAGATTTGATTGTACGTGTTTTATAGATAGTGGTTTTATGTAATTTTATGTTAGTGAGTTCTTTAGTTGTGTTACGTTTATATATTTAATCAAAAATGGAACGCAGAAGTTGTTTCGTAAAGAACTGTGATGCAGCTTATAATATCAAAAACAAGGACGTTAAAACGGAAACGTTTTTCGCGTAAGTAGAAGCTCAAAAAAATATAATTGTGAATCTCTAATTATATTTTATAGATTTCCTTCAGATGCTGTACCTGTAATACAAAACAAAATTTCTCTATCGAAAAGTAATGGAAATTAAGTACTGGGTTGTTTGATGGTGGCCGACATGCCTCCAGCCAAATATGCCATGGTGTGCCTGTTGACGTGCATAAATTATCATTGGAAAATTCCTGTGGCATACTTTTTAATTACTGGATTGATTAGGAGTGAAAGAGCCATTATAAACAGCAAGTTCTTGAATTTTGAAAACCATCGAACATTAAAATTGTTTGACATTTGATGGGCATCCTTCCGAACATCACTATGTGTCAGGAATTGGGTGTCAATATTTGGAGTGAAGACACAAAACTTTTGATACACAATGAAATAAAATCGCCAGCTGCGGCAAATTGTATAGCTGTAGATGATACTAATATTTAAGAAAAAAAATTGCACATCTACTTATGATACACAAACTTCAAATATAACTGATATCGAAGTGGAAGTTGACCACATTCTCATAGAATCAAATAACATAACAATTTCTGAAATTGTTTGTTACATTGCTGTTTCACTGAAATTCATTTCATTGGCCAGAAACTTTTTGTAAAGTGCCGACATTTGTAAAATAAAAACTTATTCCACTATCTATTCTTATCATTATCCAAAAATTATACCTACTTCAAATTTATTATATAAATTAATTCATTATATAGGTATTGTTATTGTATAAAATATTGTGTGTAGGTATGTCCTTGCAAATTTCATATATTGTACCTCAGATTTAGTTCTTATTTTAGTCATACCCAGTGATGGCGCTGCAGATGTTGCCTTCAAGCATTGTTTATTCATTTAAATATTAATGAATAAACAGAGCTTCAAGTTTGATACTAGACATTCATACGATAGCAGTCCAGGTTTAAATGGTCGATGGGAGTCTGTCAAATGAAAAATTTGACCAAATGAAATTGCCAATTTAAATTTTAGGTACAGTTCACAGTGTTTTTAATGTGTACACTACCGTCATGAAATTTGATACATAGGCACTTGGAATAATGGAATATCAAACGCCAGTTTCAAAATTTGGTTTTGCGTATGCGCAGTGCCAACTTTTTTTATTTATGGAAGCATTTAAATGAAATGTGATACATAGGCACTTGGAATAAAGGAAAATCAAACGTTAGTTTCAAAATTTAGATTTGCGCATGCGCAGTTCCAACTTTCTGATTTAGAAAAGCATTTAAATGAAATTCTTATAAACTGAAATCTGAAGTAGCACGTCCAAAATGGATTGCACATTTGCAACGCTATCTTTTATATTTGTGGCCGGATTTTTACGATTTTAACAGAAGTTGCACCTTACAAATGGGAAATGAATGTGTTGCGTCCCCAAACTAGAATAAAATATCCTATCGTTTTTCCTTTAATGAAAATACCCTGTACATAACCGTTTTGCCTTGCCTATATATATTCCTACTTGTTACGTGTGCGCGTATGAGCCGCAGAAGTGCAATATTGAGAATTCGTCGTTCATCAATGACCGATTATCAATGACCGATTAGCCTTCGTCGTTTGCATATAGATCTCGATCGATCCACAACAAATCAAGATTTCACCGTGCAGTTCGCAACATCGATATTGTTAACAAGTAGAACGTCAACACAGCATATCATGAAGATTTCGTTGTGTCAAAATCGTAGAAAAGAGCAATCTTCGTCATTGCAATATCCCCTTCGTTGTTAATGTCCTTTGTTTACATTATCCTTTCGTAGCTTTGCCACTTTCTGGTAGCGCGTCGTGCCTACGTCAACCATATTCAATAGAAATTCATTTACTTTGTATTTTTGATAATAAATACGTTTATTTTTGTCTATATTCTTTCATTCCCAGCATAAACAAGGCCTTGGAAGTAATTCATAATTACAGTCCACTTACAATTAAATTCTTTGTTATCGAAGCCCCCTTGTACGGTATAGAATGCAAGTGGAAATGCGCTTTTGTAAATCGTTTACGATTACTTTTTAACTTGTTATATTTATAAAGTTCACAAAAAATGAAAGATTTTTTCGTGCTCTTGCACTTATTCCACACTATCTAATGCAATGTTTAGTCAAAACCGAGGTCAAAACTAAAACTATTATTGCTATATTTTTTAGTAGTTTGCCCAAATGTGTACTGTATACCCCTTCGGTTAGGCAATATACCTTATTACAGTTACAGCTGAAAAAATACCGCTATAGATACCATGCGCTATAGGAAAAAATTACAAAACGCTCCTGTATACAGTAATCGTGAAAAGTGTTCTGCGTAAATGTTGGGAACGGGGATTTTTTGGGTATACCTATAAGCTTGGCAGAAAAGCATATTATTCTCTCCCCCTCCCGCCCTGCCTTCATATTCCACTTATGCACTGTGAAAGTGGTTTTATAGTAGTGTTTCAGTTATTGGAATTTTACTCATTTGCAGTGAATTGTATATCTACATTTTATTAAGAATATAATTATGAATAATCTTTATATTTAATTAGTAATTCAGATTATTGAAAAAGATGTAGGTGATATTAGTTACATAACATAAGGGGTATTTGACTTGTACATTTAACAATTGAAATAGTAGCTCCTCTATGCTACTACTATATCCTTATCATGATCTGAGACCTCTTTCCTTTTCTGTCTCCACCAAGTGTCATTCGTCTACCTGTTGTTGAGTTTCGACAAAGAGTAACTATAATAAGAGATCCAACGGCATAGAGAATAGTGTTGCATATGTATTGTGTGTTGCCTAACAAATTTTAGTGCTCTTTCCCAATTTTATTGGCGTACGCTGCGCCTAAGGGGCCATTTCAAGGCAACTACTTGTTTAGAAGTTTATAAATATCATTGCAGAAATCCCAGCGTTGCCAAATTTTTAGTGTTTGCTTGCACTTATTTAGGTATCTATTATTCCTTGAAATGTATGATGTTTAAAGATATGTAATTCCATTCTACGGTTATGGCACAATTTATTAAGGTGCGAACGCTTGTTGGTTTGATTCATAGGTGAGAAGATATGTTCTTCGTGTAACAATAAGCCATTTTTTGAGGGGTAAATAATAGATTTTGTACTGTGTATTCCCACTAAGCGCGAGTAATAACCTCGCGTTGATTACGTCTCTGCCCTTTGTACACACTGTCCGTCGTCCTACCGTCGACGGACGTGTGGAAAAGTCGACCGCACTAGATCGTTTAGTTAGAGGAAGTAGTCTAACGAACGATATTTACTTCCGACTTGCGAGGAAATAAACGAAAATTTTTTGAAAAAAAATAGGCCAATAGACGTTTTATAGCATTTATTGTACAAATAATAAGAGAATGAAAGATTCCCGGAAAAAATGTTTCACTTTTTAATTTTTGCCGGCCAAACAATATAATAAAATCAAAATAAACTGCCTCCATTGGATTATAGTTGTGATCGAATGGTTCAAATCAGTTAAAAATGTGATCTGTGGACCTACGCAACCCCACCTCTTTAAAAATGGTTTCTTTGCTATAACCACAGATATACGTAAAGAACAGATTGCTAACCCTAATGCATAAATTGCTTAACAGATTTATCCACTTAATTTAAATCACCTATCTCCTTAATAGAGCCCTCTATTTAGGAATGTTATTACCACAAACAGTTTAGTATTTGGTTCTTGAAGAAGGTTGAAACATTTTCTATGCATTTAACGGTAGGTGTCACTGTAAAAGTAATGTTTTATCTTTTTCTGTAGAAGGAATGCATGATATCATTGAATTTATAACTATATTCAATGATGATATGATGCATGATCAAGTCGACTCGGTTGCGCTTATCTTATCTACGCCAATATTCGTTACGACGGATATGATATTTAACTATTTATAAATTCTTATTTACTACAACTCACTTTTGCTATAGCATTTCGAGTGTTAGACGGAGAGCTGGCTACGGAAGAAAGTGACTTATCCCTACATGGCTGATTTTTTGTCAAGTATGCTGATACATAATGAAGTAGAAAAAGTCATGTCTGCCAGCGAAATCCCGTGCCTTAAGGTTGGGGTTGGGAGGGGTGGTCAAATAAGTCAAATTTTAATAAAACTGCCGATTTTCTGACTATATTTACCTCTGGCGCCTTTATTTTGAATCGGACGCAAAAAATCAATGAAATGTACAGCTTATCAAGGTACATCTTTTTTGTATTTAACATTTTTCGCTATGATGCTTACTTTTCGAGAAAAGTGCAAATTAAAAAAAATTATAAAATCAATAGTTTCTTATCAATTTAAAATTTCTCAAAAACTAAGAAACTCACAAAAAGATGTAATTGATTTTTATGTGGAGTTTTGTATGCCACATTTGTCAGTGTGTGAAAAATGATTACAAAAGAGTTTTTGTTATGGCCCTTTTAAACTGTATGCATGTGGTTCGTTTCTTGTGAACACGATAACTCAAAAACGCCTGAACCGATTTTTATGAAATTTGGAATGTTTATAGGATTGTATAGGGAATGGCACACGACCTATTTTGGTTTCGGTCCGTTACCATCTTCAGGGTTTTTGAGGGTGTTAAAAGTTTAAAAGAGCCATAACGGCGTAAAGACAATTTTTGTAATTTTTTCGCATACACTGGCTAAGGTGGTACAAAAAACTCTACAAGAGAGTTCATAACAATTTATTTGTGAGTTTCTAAGATTTTGAGCAATTTTAAATTGAACTGTTAAACTCTTTCATTTCATAATTTCTCTAAATTTGCACTTTTCTCAAAAAGTAAGCTTCATAGCAAAAAATGTTACATATAAAAAAAAGAAGTGCCTTGATGAGTTGTACAAAAAAGTCTCATTCATTTTTTGCGTCAGATTCAAAATAAATGCGACAGAGGTAAATATAGTCGGAAGATCGGCAGTTTTATTAAAATTTGACATATTTGAGCGCCCCTCCCAACATTAAGCCACGGGGTCTCACTGGCAGACATGACTTCTTCTACTTCACTATGTATCAGGATACTTTACACAAAAAATCAGCCATGTAGCGATAAGCCAGCTCTTAAGACTATAAAGGCTTATTTTCCGATTTGTTATTTATTTTACCCAAAAATTGTTTAAATACGTTAAACAATGCCATTGACTAATACCCCCCCCCCCCACCCCCCAATATTAGTCAATGACAATACCCAAAACGAGCTTATAAAGTTTGCGTTTTTTAGAGAACGTTTGAACGAAATGATATAGAAATCAAAGAAATCAGTATAAAAACCATGTTGGTTGAAAGTACGAGGGTTTTTACAAAAGTTTTAAATTTTAATAAAACACATTAGATATTTGTGAATGCTTTTTTGATAACAAATCTTAGGAGTCCTACAGGAACTAAGTTTTGATTATTCAAAAATATACTATATGTTCGTTGAAACTGTAAAAATTAGCAATAAGTTATTCAGTCCCACAGATGTAACACCCCGAAAAGTAGTTTTATTTAGGGCCTGATTAATCTCGGATTGTCTGAACCGTTTCAATAATACATTCCTGGAGGGATTTCTACAGGCTCTGGTGTGTTTCGAGGATCCACAATTTCTGGCAAATAAACCCCTAAAGCAGATCTAAACAAGTAGAAACGTTTTCGCCCTAAGGCGAGTAACTTCAGTGCATTTTCCATAAATTGATCAATACTACCCCAAAGGCCATACCTATGTGCGCTATGTTTACTAGAGGCATATATGGTTAAAATTTTAAAGAAATATCTTCATAAATAAGGAAGTTGACACTTACTGCGCAGTTGATATTGCGCGTCCTGCGCATGCGCTTATTAATCTGATATTTACAATATGCAATACGTTCGCTTTTACTATAAGAATCTTTGGTTAAAATTTCAAAGAAATATCTCCATAAATAAGAAAGTTGGCATTGCGCACATCTGATTTTTACTATATGCGATATATGCCTTTACTACAAGTATCTGTGATTAAAATTTCAACAAAATGTATTAATAAATAAAAAAGTTAACAGAGAAAGCGGCTGCAATAGCGCACCCAACTTCGTTCGAAAATGCGCTAAAAAGCGGCAGAGCGTCTCGGGTGACCCTACGGCGTCATTGAATTTGACCCAATTCTTATAAGCTTTTTACAACCTAATTGTTCCGCAAAAGATATTTTAACCACAGGTTCATGGGTAATTCCATAATCGGTATATTTTGAAGATGTAAATCAGGCATGTCAAACACGCGGCCCCCATGTCGCTTGTGGCCCACCGTTCTACAATCTGCGACCCGTCAGGATGTTCGCAGATTATAAAATTGAAATATGTAATTGAATTGTACCGCATGTTCTATTTTGGTTGAGAATCAGCTGTTTTTAAAGATAGTTAAGTTTGCGATTTTTCGCGACCCTGTGTCACTTTTTTGTGAAACTACAAACAAAATCAATCTAGCTACGTTTGTTTCTGGGATACAAAGTTGAAAACGAAAGGTTTGACTTTTTGGGATGATATCGTATCTTACTATCCATGTAGGATAGAAAATAGGTAAACACTGTTTATTTTAGACACTGTTACGTAGAATCCAGTGGCGTAGGCAAAAAAACTTTTGGACCACCGTTTCTGAGGATCTGAGGCCCAAAGTTGGCATTTTTTTATATGTGACACCCTGTATATCTTAACGTCAATTGTTTGCAGTCCTTTTCCTGATTACATTTATGCATCACACAACTGTATATATTTTTTTTAGCAATGAAAATCAATTAAAACCTTATTTTTACTGTAATCAAATAGTATGCCATGAATTCATGGAGATTTTGTTTTGTTTATTGTATCCACGGTAACTAAGGCATTCGATACCAATCAATAAAAATGGCTGAAGGTAGAAATATGCCATTTCAAAATTTTGAGAAATATGATAGAATATATAATTAAATAAAAAATATAGAATGATACATCAATGTAATCACGAAAAAGAATGCAAAAAATGGACGTTAAAATATACAGGGTGTTACATTAAACAAATTCCAAGTTTGGGTCGAATCACAGAAATTGTTTTTGCCTACGCCACTGGATTCTACGTAAAAATATCTAAAATACGCAGTTTTTATCTTTTTAGCGCATTTCCACAAAAATAAAAAAAAATGCGCTATTGTGACCACTTTGTCCGTCCGTCCGCTCGTTTTGAGACGCTACTAGTTTTTTATCTTAAGAGCTATTAATTGTTCTACTTTTTTCGCTATTTGGTTCGTTATGGTGTCGAGTCTTGCACCAAGGAAGGATTTTTTTCTGTACCGCTTACAAAAAAAGTTATTGTAAAAAAAACAAAAAAAAACCGTTTTTTACATGTTCCATAATTTTACACTTTTGCCGTTTATTAACGATCCTAGAGATCGTTTATAATTTTGCATTGCTGTCTGTCGTCTGCCTGTTGGTCTGTCCGTCTGTTCCTTTGTTTGTCTGTCCCTCTATCTGTCCGTGTGAAAGATAACTTTGTTTAGAACTGTCCGATCGCTTTTACATTTCCGTTAGTTATGAACTGAATTGCATGAAATTCAATATGGGCATAGCTTTAGCCATATAATACGCAATGCCAAAAGTTGAGTCGAATCGATTCAAAATTCACAGTGCCCTTTTCGCATCTTGACCATTTATAAACCGAATTGCAAACTTTTTTAATTATAAAAGTATTTAAATGAAATTTGATACATAGCCACTTGGAATAAAAGCAAATTTAACGCCAATTTCAAAATTTGGTTTTGCGCATGCGCAGTGTCGACTTTCTTATTTATTTACAATTTTAACAAAAGTTGCATCTTACAAATAGGAAATGAATGCCAGTGGAAATGCGCTTTATGTAAATCGTTTACGATTACTTTTTAACTTGTTTGTATCTTACACTGTAAGTACGTGTACATTTTCTTGAGCTGGTACTAATGATTTTATGATTATTTCTACTTTTTCGTTTTATTGTATTATTATTTTGTATACTTTTTATGTTAATAATAAGAAATTAAAATTTTCTTAATGTAAACTTTTTTGTGATGTGGCCCGCAGCTATCTGTGGAAACGTTAACATGACCCTTGATGATAACATCATGATAACATTTTTTATTTCCGCATTTATCTTTTCTAACTTTTGGACGAATAAGGCTTTTTGAGATTGATATATTTCTGGGTTTGCTATTTCAGCAGCTAATGGACCATATTCTTCAATATCAAATCAATAAGAATTATACACCACAAATAATCTTCATGTGTAAATAAATTAAGCCTTTTCATAGAAAGTTTTTATTATTAGGGAAATAATATTACAAAGACAGTTATCAGTACCGTAGTTTGAATATCGAAGGTGCAGTTCAAATAAAAAATGCCTTATTATACCTGAAAAAATTTAGGAACCTTATTTTTTACACAATCCTAGTACATACAACTACGTCAACTGTTTATCTACCTATTAAATAGCAAAGGAATAAATCTGTAAGTATTTGCACTTGATTCGCGTACTCAACACCAAATAAATAGTTAAAAAATTACTTAGTTCAGAGAAATACTGCGTATCTGCCCCACTGACCTAAATAAAAATAGGGGTCAGTGATCTGCACTTGTTGATGTACTCATAATCCACCAACATAAAGAGGAGAAATCTGTAGATTATTGAAGAATGAAGATACCTACGGTGGGTTCGTTCATTCGTTGTACCCTGTCCTCTAACAGAGAAAATGAATACTTTCGAAATTTGCATTAGGGATTGCGTCTTTGATAAAGCAAATTTAATTTCCTCAAATTTTTCCTACTTGTAGGCAACCCGTTATACTTATTTGCATTACAGCTGCGTTTACTAAATTTCCATTTAGTTAGCAATCTGTTCTTTACGTATATCTGTGCTATAACTGAAAAACTACTTGGCCGATTTGGACCATATTTTTACCAGTCGATGTGACTAATGTCCCCTTTAATCTCATTACATTTCACTCCGATCGACCCACGCATTCCGGAGATATTTAAACGCTCCAGAAACCCTATATTTGGAATGGAAGAAAATGTTGTTTTCAAAAATAAGAACATACACTGCATTATCAATCGTTTAAATGGATGAATCACTAGCAAAATGCGCGGTGGCTCAAGTTGAGCGGCAAATTTAAATACATATACTTGTGTTTTCTCCGCTAGCCAATGGTGACTGAAAAACGTGTACGAAGCTTAGTTGCTAGGAGACCGATGCGCGCTAGTGCTGCAGCTTAAAATGCGGGTCGAGAGTATTTTTTTAAATTAAATTGTTTAAATGAGAATATCGTGTAAATATTTAATTAAATTCATTCGACGGGTGCAGATTTATTAATTTATTATTTAACTGCACTATATATTTTGACTGATTATTGGATTAGACTGATGTTTTTTTTCTGACATAAGGATTATTGCATTGTAATGATTGATTGTTAATGATTAAACAACTCAGCGTATGTAGGCATCTATACAAAATTAAAGCAAACAAAATTTCCTGTAAAATAATCGCTATGCTCATCATAAAATCCAATTTGCTAGTGCATTTTATGAAATATATTGTCCACTTTAATTTGATTGTAGGAGACGATCTAAAAAGGATGGATAACAACAAATTTAATTTACATTTTTACAATTGTACCTGTTATTGGTTCTTAAATTAAATAGTAATTACTGTCTATTCAATAGACGCCAACTAAACAGGAAAATACCAATGTAATTAACAATAGGTACTGAATCGTTGCTGATTTGTTTTATAATGTTTTCTAATTATATCATGTCCACATTTTATACAGCCAATAAAAAAGAAAATTAAATGTGACAACCGCGCAAATATTTTAAACCGAAATTCTATAAAGAATTCTGTACATTTTCGATACGCGCCAATATTTAAAGAGGCGGTTAGTTCTGGCCACCTCTACGCGAGGGCCCGCTTTTGGAATCCTATCCTAGCGGGCGAGTTCTTATAGCAATCTGTGTTATAGCCAACACGCGTTTATACCATTGCGCTGTATCTCTTATTATGGATACTCTTTGGTTTCGACTTAAAATGCCCATTTCTATTATTTTTTTTTGTACTTTGTAAAAGAATGTTTCAGCTTCAGACACACAGACAGATCCAAACTGTATTATTAGGTAAACTAATGAATAAAAAATATTATTCATTGTGTATAACACTTTTACGAGCATGGAGAAGATGATACAATGGAGGACCAGGGTCAGTGAAGAACTAAGAATAAAGGAATGTAGAGATTGATCGTTGAGGAAAGTGATCTTATAGGAGGATGGAAGTATCATAAGAGGATAAAATACCAAGTGATTTATTGTAACAATCTGAGATTCATACATTTTCATAAGAATAAATGCTTTATAAGTGCAATTAGGTACTAAAAATATTCCTCACACTCTGCAAATACTTTAGGACAATACTTTTTAGCAAAAATACTGTAAGGCACTTCGGAGTTAATTTTAATTTTAGTATTAACACTATGTTTATTCCAAACATGTATAACATAGCTATTTCGAGTAATATTTAACATTTTCTCATTGTACTTGGAATCGAAATACATTTTCCAATTCCACCACTCCACCGGGTAGAAAGCCTCAGGAGGATACACCTTAAATCCCCTACAATCTTTTTTCAACATATCCTTCGCCTTCTTGACACCGCACAGATTTTTCAACAACCTGAAATGCACACCATTACTTATGCAGTAGGTAAGAGAAAGAACACCTACCTTGTAATGACCCCAGGGCCATTATACCCCCAATCCTTGCCGCGAAAATTTCTGCGAAGATCCTCCAAACACCTCTGTGCAAATCCGTGTCCTCGACCGTCGGGAGAAAAATTAATCACACCTGCAGCTACGTTATTCTCCGATTCCGAGCCGGCGTAATTAGCTGGCAGATCTTGTAGGGGCTTTATCACAATAACGTCTAAATCTAGATAGATTCCACCATATTTCCACAAGGACAGGTACCTCAGGACGTCGCTGGCATGTGATCGGGCGTACAGGGACGCTTCCACTTTGCCATCTCTGTAGAGATTCTCAACAGGAGTATCTTTGGTATATTTTTCGTAATCTAAATGTCGAATATTCACATTCTTGTACGATAATAAAGCTTTAATTATTCTATCCGATTGGGTACCTTCGAATTTTATTATTCCGGGCGAGGTAAATAGTAAATATATGTCGTAACCGGGATTTAGTAAGGCGGCGGATTCGACAGCACAAGCTTGTCTAGGAAATAACGTAATTTTCCCTTCTATGTACGAGTTGCACGACGTTTCATGGAAAAAGATCGATTTTCCTTTTCTGGGTTGCATTTCGGTGATTTCAGGAAGTGATTTATCATGCAGTCTGTAGCATGCTATCGAATCCGCCTTAAATAATTGCTTCGTGCAGATTACAAAGACTATATAGAATAATGGTGTTAGCATTAGACAAAGCAATGCGAAGACGCGAACGTGACGATAAAATTTATGCATGTTATATTGGAAGTTGGTTATTTTAAATTATTTCCAAGCATTTCACAAGAAGGCGGCGGTACTTTAACAACTACTACTTTAACTAACCTATTATGACCACCCATGTGTGCTAGATAGTGGAAGTTAGATTATAACTGGAATGAGCTTCCTGCCTCTATTCTTATCAATTTATTTGAAATACTCCAACAAGGGAAAGTGTTATATTGTAGTTAATTTTTAAATCTCTTAATTTCTGTTGAGTATTCTTTTGATTATTTCCTTCCATTGTACTGTAAAAATTAGATCTATCATATTTTAGTAGAGTATAAAGTCTTTCACAGAATCCTCTCTCATTTTTATTTTTCGTTTTATTATTAATAATATATTTTCTTCTGCACTTGTTTGGTTACTTCTGACAATCAACGTCATGTCATTCAAAACTGTCAGTTGTCTGAAGGTGGCAACGGAAAAGAACCTACTATCACAATAGAGCGGCACTTACAAATTTGTATGGTGGCCCATATATCTACAGCGTGTAGCGCCAAACTTGATATGAAGCAATAAAAATTGCAATTGCATGCAAGTTGCAAGAAAAATTGAAAGGCATGCGCAGTTCAAAGCCAGCTGATCAATTGCTGCAAAAGACTTGCATGCAATTTTTATAGGACCGGTGCTATTTTTCTTGCATGAATCGTGCAATTCTAGGGATAAATCTAGTTGTCACCAACCTAGTAAAATACAGCGGTTGGTTTTATTAATCTTACTTATTCTTGTAATTTTCATGTTTCTTAAAGCAATCAAAATTTAATTTTTATTTGAGGTTAGCAACTTTGTTGACAAATCCATATTTTTCTTCTGTTGGCAAAGTGACAATTGAAATAGAATTGCAGCATGTCAAATACCATGCAATGCTTATTGCATGCAAGGATTTAACCTTGCAATTTCTTTCTGCAAGTTCTTGCGCGTTGTATTGCTCCATGTCAAGCGGCCTTTACCATAAAAGATACCGAAACAACTCTTAGAGCCAAATTGTATATAATTACCGCCGGCATGTTTCTAAAATGTTTTTGATCATCAGGGGCGTGCTGTATTCCAGTGGCGTATCAAACTTGCATTTTTTAAATGGAACACCCCATATTTTATTACTGATTTGGAGAGTACTTGAAAAGTACTTATTTTTTTATGTAACCCTAACTTTAACGATTTCGCTGTTATAACCTTTTTTCCTCAAAATTTGACAGTTTTTTGAAATTTTTGTTGTGAGAAACAAAACGCGAAGGCGGCTAATTTTTGCACTGACTCACGGGTTAAGACCTCTTCCACAATCACTTAATTTTTTTAGGTACTTTATCGAAAAAATAAAATTTTTTATTGACATTCGCTAAATGTCACTTTTTTTTAATTTCAAATGGCACCCTAAACAAACTATACCTCTGAGTAGCCAAAATTACAAATTTTCCACTGATATAAACAAAATCACACATTCCATAAGAAAATTTCAGAGAAAAACCAAGTCGAAACGCCAATTTGTAAAAAAAACCTTCTTTTCCGAACCCAAGTGGGCCATGATAAAACAAAAGATGTTCAATTCTCACAATTAACAGTATACAATGTAGGCAGTGTATGATTGTTTTTTAATCAGCGTTGCAAAAATGTCCCAAATTCAAGCTGAATGGTTAATATAGTGTTAATTCTTATTAGAGACCGTTACTCGAATTGTTTGCTGGCGTCACGAGTGTACGCTGGGAGATATTCTGGCAACACACATTTAGATCCACACCTGTTTCAAAAGGTGTTGGATACATTTACAACTACTGGGAGTACTAATTTCACGGACACTAATATGGCGATTGTCAACAGCTGCCCAGCTGGTTCTCCAAGGGCAATATTCGTTACCTTGTTGCGATAACCGTTTTGGACGGCTCTTTTGCAGTTTATTTCAAATGAAATTATTCTATGGTTTGACAGTCGCTTCTAGGACGACTTGCCAGTTTGTTATGCACAAATAAATTAATAGAGACAGTTACGGAAGTATTAAATGTATAACATACAATAACATTGTCAGTAAAATAACGACACGCTTTCAGAGACAGCGCGTATATTCATCAACTTTGATCGACATCGCAAGTGCGAACTTTGATATTTTTGACCTAGTGGAAGGCCGAGACTGTTGATCGTGTGGATCTACTTTATCTAGAATGAACCGTGTGCCAAAATTTGTTAACATTTTTTACTTCCCGTATAGAAAGAACTTCATATACCAACCGATACGAACCTCGACCTAGGGGAATTTTCAACATAAGGACTAGAAGCTATTGTGGTTTTTGTTCTGTTTGATTTTAGCTGTCACAGCGGATATCTCGTCTACTGTTAGAGATATGAAAAAATGTTACAGAAGAAAAGTGGTTCTAAATTTAATTTTAAAAATCAAATGTATTAGGTGCAGCAGATAATTCAAAATTGTAAATAAAATTTTCCAAATTGTATTACATTATAACGAAGCACTCGTTTTTGTATAATATGATTTCCACCAGCTTTAATGAATACCCGGTACATGGCAGGGACGGACCTAGACAAAAAAATCGGGGGGGCAGACATGACATTTTGCCAACTCAACTGTAAAAATTTCCTCAAACGGGTAGTATCTATTAAGCATTAAGTGGTATTTCCAAGTCTAATAAATCATGTAGAAAATGTAAGATATCAGTATACGGTCTCTAATACTAATTAAAAGCATTACCAAAATACCAACCTTGTGTTGAAGAAGAAGGAAGTGACTTTCCTATTAAAGAGTCCTTTTTTATAGATCTTGCCCCCCCTTGTCCGTCGCTGGTACATGGGTGAACTCCACCGGACACTTCTTTACGAAAAACTGTGGCTTCCGGACCTATTTACTTCTCCTCTAGGAGTGGGAAATAGAAGTACTTTAATTTGATTCGCCGATAGGGAAACCGAGATGCCTATGTAATTATTCAGTTTTCTAATTGTTCCTGTAGATATTTTAATTATATGCTTGCAGCCTCCAAAAGCTCCCGTCATTTGAAAGAAAGGAAATTAATTTCCGTTTCTTCTTATGAGATTTTAGGTTAGCCATGCTAATTTAAAACCAGGACAAGGTCCCCGTAGATAAATAAGCCTCTCACTTGACCCGAGAGTTTAAGTAACAATAGGTGCAAACTCGACTAGGGGCAATTTCAGCCCCGAAATATGAGTGAGCAAAATTATTAGTAGCTGATTAAATGTGTTGCAGCCAACCTTACCTGATTAAGTTGTGTTAGGTGTCAAATGAAGCGCGCTCACTTAGCATGAATTTTAAGATTGATCCCAGATTTTTATAGTAACAGGGGAACGAGTAATGAATTAAAGAAGTTCTAAATTTGGAACGTTGTTTATTTATTAATTATTATTATTGCTCAGAAGACAAGACATCCATCTACAGGATAAAGTGTGAATTAAAAAAATCACGCAAGTACCGACTGAGAAAACCACCGGACCCTTCCACAGATTTCCGAATTGTATAAAAGATGAGATTTTTTTTGCATTTTTTAGCGTACGGTTTAATTTCAAGGGATGCGTTTGATACGTTTCTGTCCGTTAATTATAATGGGGCTTTTGGGTTGCTTTCCTGCATTTTGTTACACAGTAGATACCGTTAATGCCGCAAGTTCTGTTTTAGCTTCTTCGCCAGTGACCGACCTTCCGAACTCTGGAATTGACCGTCTGTCTCCAACTGGCTTGCCTAAGGTTTCCGAATTTCCGACACCGCAACCGACCGTCCTTGACCAGGAACAAGGATTGACCAACTCCTGGTAGCGCTTGAGATTCCGAGTACACACTACAGTCACCGAAATATCCGCCGTGACAGCTAAAATCAAACAGATTATATACCTTATTAGGGGTACTATCGCAGAAATGTTAGTTTGCAATAATTTGTTATTTTATTGGTTTAAGTAGGTTAAATTTAAAAAGAAGGAATTAAGTTATTACGGTGATGTTGCAAGCTTTCAATTAGAAAAATAAGTTTTATATTTCCTAAATCCTATGTGTTTTAATAAAACATCTGGGGGAGGTTAATTGTGAACCAAATGAAATTTTTTTTACTTTATTAAATTTTCAGTTTGAGAACCTTCTCGCATTTAGGTACAACAATTGTGTCAACACCGACTCCACAGAGTTAATAGCATTTTTTAATTTGATTATGCTTTACCCCAAATCGTAAAGATGGTGTTAATATTTTGGTGTACCTACCGATGAAGAACATGAAGGAATTTATTTATTTTTTTAATTTAAATATATTTAACCATTTAGTACACTTTTACAGTTACAGTTTTAGAGCAATCAGTTTAAATTTTGTAACAATCGTTTCATATTTTCAATGAAAAACCAAGCCGTCGCGCTGCATTGATTTTCATTGTAAATAAATAACGCTCCGCAATGAGTACCATTGATACAAATGATAATTAACAATAATGCCTAGGTATAGGTAGGTATGAATATATCGATTTGCGAATTATTGATACGAGAAAATATGTTTATAAATGCGGTACTTTGTGAAATGAGTTCAAAGTCGAGCATCAATTGAAAGGAAGAGCAATAGGTACCAAAGCGATAGGTACGTACACTGAGAGAGCCTTTCCCTATACCATAGGTAAGTAAGTTTTTTTCGATTGTAAAAAGTTTTTTAAATTATTATTATCATTCATTTCGCAATACAAACGGACGGACTGACTTATCGCGGATCATTATTGAAACACATGGTAAGTTATCAGGATTTTTGTTCTAGACGTGACACACCTACACGGAAGGAAATGAAGTTTGGCCGAATAATTCTGTGTTTTTGTTATTTGGAATCAGCCGCCACTTCTATTTGCGTTGAAGATTGGAGTTCTGCGGAGGTTTGCATATCTCAATTGGTCGAGCACTTTTTTGGTGAAAATAGTACGGTGTATACAGTTCAAAATAAGTTTTATGTCGAATTTCAAGTGAAGGTTCGGAATCCTTTGGTAATTGACCTAAATTCTCACGATGCCACATATCAGGAAAGTTACATCATTTATTCGAAAGATGAACTGTCATTGGATAGTACACTTTTAAAGCTAAGACCAGAATCCACCAGGTCCACTAACGTGCGCATAGATCGTGTTTTGGTGATTACGACATCAAAAAATATTTCCCAAATGTTCAAGGTACTTTGGCAAAGAGATTGCTTTAACAATATAATATTCCAGTACGAGGGTGCACAAAAATTAATGATATATCAAAGTGATCCTTTTGAGGGTGAAAATGAATGTGGAAAGGAAGTGAATTTGCTATATCCATATAAATGTGGCGCTATTACTGAAATCGGAAAGTATCCAAACATTATAACAGATTATCGAGGATGTTTTAGTATGGTGTACACATCACCATTCCCAAGAAACCCAAGCGATTGCACAAACTGCAATTCTGTGGCCGATTTGTATATCAGTTTATTAATGGAAAGTCTTAATGTCAAAATTAGTACGGCAGATTTCAACAATGACTCCAGTAATTCCTTGAACGTCGTAGAGAAAGTCACTCATCCCGGAATGCCTACATGTAGTGAGCATATATTATCGCGTGAGTACGTATGGATTGTGCCCACTCCACCAGTTATGTCACCACTCCAAACAATATTTACCATCTTTCATTTAGAGGTATGGTGTATGTTGATTAGTGGAATAACTTTGGTGTGGATCTGTTGGACTCTACTGGAGCGGTACCTACTTGAAGTTAAACCAGAATTTTGAAAGATACATTGGCATTTTAATGGAAGTAGCATCGATTACATTATGGGGAAGTGTGCACGCTATGCCCGGACAAAGAGCTGTAAAGAGCCTTGTAATTTGCTTTATTTTTTACTCGGTTGTCATGCAAACCGCTTTCAGCGCAAATTTAATCCATTTCTTGACGATACCCCAGCATGAAGTGGGTATTAATGACGTTGACGACATTTTGGAGTCTAAGTTACCTATGTTTTCGACACCACACGATGTGATCTCATTGGGAGAGGTATATTTCGCAATGTTGCAGTCAAACAAACCCGAGGAATGTATTCCTCTCGGAAAAATACTATCAAATATTATCGACAACCAGGATCTGAACGCGAAAGAAACAAGATATAAAAAAATTGTCTCCGATCTCGTCGTTTATAAGAACTGTACATTTTTTGGATCAAAGACAAGAATTCCTTTACTATTAGAACGGAGTTTTATTGAAGATGTTCATTTTAAATTTATAAAATCTGAACATTACTCGGCACCCGCCAAATACGCAATAACATTGTTAGATAAAGTCCACTTTTTAAAATCTGCCAACGTTATAATAAGCAGAGTAAAGGAATCTGGGCTAATTGAAAAATTAAATAAAGAAATCCAAAACAAATATTCACGGGAAGGGAGTGAATACGTAACAGAACCCTTAACGTGGAAACACCTGGTTTGTACGTTTTCAATCCTTGGTATAGGACTGTCCATTGCAACCGTTGTCTTCGTTACCGAAATAATGGTCACAAGGATACACAGTGTAACAAAAAAGTCACATGATAATCATGGTTCACGTAATAGTGCACACAGGTTCCCCGCACGTCTTTGAAATTCACCAAGAACTGTTTTTTTGCACGTGTAACGTTCACGCGCATTCATATATCAAGCACAGTTCCTAGATGAATAAATCTTATTTTAAAGAATTCTTCAAGAACAAAAAAAATTGGTTTTTTTTAGTGTTTGGCACATTTTCTGGGGGAGATATCGTAATGAAATTGTATTACAATAGGGATTTCTGTTTTGTATACTTTTAAGGTTGGTAGTCACATCACAACACTACTATAGTACAGCTTCTGTTGAACTATTATGTGCTTTACATTACAAAGAAAGTTAGTGATTAATATGTAGTAGACCTTTAGCGGTTGCCCGGTTTTGTTAATTCATACTCACAATAAATGTCAGAAAGTATTTGGCAATTATTTCTTCGTGAATCTTCAAAAGTTAGTATTGCTGCCGAAACCCCGGGTCCTATACACTCCGGGAGGATATCGACATCGTGCAGGAGGAGTCAGAGAATCGAAGAAAGGAAGTAGAGAGCGTGTGCCAAGAAATGTGCAGACAATGCAGCAATTTAGCGTCTGAGGAGCAGATAAATTGCATAGACAATTCGGTAACTGCGCAAAAGTCGTTGAATGAGCCAAGTTGTCTAACTCTGAAGTATCTTTGAGTTTGACTTTAACTTCAACATATAAACGACAATAAGAGTTTCCAATCTTTCGTAAAACGCTAACCCATCTGTCCTTAATCGAATGCCGAGCTCGGGAAGCTAGGAGTAGGTAATTGATAATTAATTAATAATTAATTTATTTTACTTATATTTATATTTTCAACCATTACCGTCCGTTAAATTTGATGATTTTATAAATAAAAAGCAACCCTTAACACTTAACAGGGTGAAGGTGGGGTTAGGTGGAAAGGCGCTGTAAAAGTTGTTCAAGCCCTGCGGGCGTATGCGAGCTTGCTGTTTCGGCGGGTCCTTTTCAGGGTTTCTGCTCGACAACATAAATAGCGAGCTAAAAAATAGAAAGGCATAGCACTCGCCATAGAGTGTAGGTCGTCCGCTAAGTTTTGCGGTTCGTATATTTATTGTATTGATAAGACCAAAGAGTACCCACTCAATGATAAGACTATAATTTTAAGCGGGCCGGTGTAAAATGGTTGGTTGTGAATTAACAAAACGAAACGCGAAGTTTTAAATAAAATTGAACAATAAGAAAGCCAAATAAATTCAGTACATTGCCGTAAGCGCTTTGTTTAACTTGCATTGGGAAATATGTGGCACCATCATCGAGTAACACAACGAGTGGTTTTCTTTTACAAACTTGACCGACGCAAATTAAATCGTGCGACTAAAAATGGAAAAGTCAATTTTGTGCAAAATAAAATATTCGGCGCGTGCATTACTAGCTTTGAGCGCGCTGCAAGAAATCCGCACCTTGACATCAGGGAAGCTGAAACCATAGTAAGACAAATAATAATAATAATAAACAATAAGTTGACAACAACAGCCCAAAAAAGGACCGACTACCTGTTACTAACAAGCTTGTGGTTAAATAAACATAAGTACATAATAATCACAAACGTAGTGCACGTAAATTGAAATGTAGACAAATCAAGAGAAAATGCCAAAATTGGACAATAAGACGTACTCACAGGGTATTAGACAAAATTAGGCGGTAGGAGCTAGGCAGGTAGGTGAAAATTCAAGTTATATTTTTTTCTTTTTAGCGCATTTTTTTAGGAAAAAAAATATAAAAAATTTGCTATTGTTTGCGTTTTGTTTGTCCGTTTAGGGGAATTGTCCTATAGAGGCCTGGAATTTCTGCAATAGGTAGACTATACCTTGAAGGTGGGCCAGACGGCCATCAAATTTTACTACCTCTCTTCTTTATAATTCCTTATATCTCAAGAACAGATTGTTGAATGTGGGTAGGTACTCACAAAGGGCGAAAAGATCGTCTAGACGAGACACATCTACTAGAGATGTAAAAACTTAATTGTGCATATCTCGGAGAAAAGTAAACATTGAGCATGCTACTACCGTATAACAGTTAAAAGCCCACTATTACTAAGATTTTTCGGTTCTAAAAAATGCCCTTTATCTGCACAAGAATAGTGCACAATTTATACTTGTTTTTAATACCTACTTTATCTCATTTCATGACTGATTAACGAGCTCCTAGCGATTTTGTAATTTTGCGGTGTCTGTCCGTCCGTCCGTTAGCACGATAACTCATAAACGAATGGACCGATTACGATTGAATTTTGCAGGTGGATTCTTTATCAAATTTGTAGATCGGAGTTCGTGAATTGGCAATGTAGACTAAAAAATAAAGTAGGCCCTTTTGACATCTCCGTTAGTTATGAATCGAATTCCATGAAATTCAATATGCGCATAGCTTTAGGCATATAAAACACAATTCCAAAAGTTGAGCCTAATTGATCAGCATTCACAGTGCCCTTTGCGCATCTCGACCATTTACAGACCGAATTGCAAACGTTCTTATTTATGAAGGTA